ATCAACGTTGTACGATAATATTCATATACATATGTAGTACAGTTAAGTTTTTGTCTAACTATTTATCAAGAAAACAAAATCCTACTTTTTATATGTACTACTACTAGTTTAGAATAAATGCATTGTAGTATAAATTAAGCTATAATATTTAGTGACTAATTGAATTGTATATACACTTTTACTACTACTTTTACTCAAAATCTATGTTTTGTACTCAAAAACAAAATTGCGAATGTGCTATATATAAATGTAGTTTTATTGCGATACATTTAAATTTTATGAACGTAAATGCCTTAAAAAGTGTAAATAGAAATAATAAATAATTAAACCATAAAAACTGTTTTTTTTTTCTTTCAAACAGAGGCCTTAAATAAATAGGCTGCCGCTCAGCGGATTTACCTTTAAATTTTTGATTCATGGATTTTAGAATCAAAATAACACCGAGCCTATTTACCCGGCGACTTTTTACGCTGTCTGGAAAGCAGAGAAGTGCACCGATTTCGAACCGGATAAATCGCTCTTTCCCACTAATTAACTGAACCATTAACCAAACCGAAATGTTTCACAAATGTTTGATCGCATAAAGATTTAGTATGCGTTTCGACCATTTTTTTTTATACACAAATATTCCCCACTTTTTTAATACAAGTATTCTATGTTTCTTTACCATCTGACAATTTTTTTTTACCACGTATAGCATCCCAGCCGGAAATAAATCCCGATTTTGGAAAAGCGCTGGTCATACTTGCTTTATTCCGTCTAGTTTCGGACAAAGAAAACTATCGAGGCGCTAGACGTGTAGGTAATGCTCGCTCTATGCAGCCACTGTCCAGTGATTCTGGAAAGCTTCCGCCCAATGAACTGTAGAAGTATCAATCAGAGTTCTTATACAGTCCCTAATGTAAAATATAAGACTGTGCCTTAAGGAAACTCTTCGTCAGGCAAATCCAGCCAGCACCGTAACTGGTTACCTGAGGCACGATTTCGTACAACACAGCCTTTACAGGTATATGAAATAGAATATAGGTACTTATCGCAGATTCTTTGCTAAAGCCAGTCCAGTCTTCGAGAAAATCCTATTATGCGCCCGTCAAGTTTAACCTTCTCAGGCTTCTCTGACCATGGAAAATCTACTTAGCACCTGTATTGATTAGCCAAGTTAAGATATTTTCTGCTAGAAGCGTCCAAGACACTGTAAGAACATGTATTCTCATATGCTATACCTAGTGCAATTTCTAGTATAGATGATTTAGGAACACACACCTGTCGCCCTGATACTTTGCC